CAACGTCAGTTTTTAAAAAAGAGAAGACTGTTGTGGAATAAAAGGGACTTGGAGGCACAACTAATTGCAATGGGCGACTCTTGTTTGGATTCTGATTTGAACCAACCAACCGATTTCTTATTCTTTTTTTTTTGACAGTCTCACTCTGACACCCAGGCTGGAGTGCAGTGGTGCGATCTCAGCTCACTGCAACCTCTGCCTGCCAAGTTCAAGCGATTCTTGTGCCCCAGCCTCCCAAGTAGCTGGACTACAGGCGGAGGGCACCATACCTGGCTAATTTTTGTATTTTTGTTTTTTGTTTTGAGATGGAGTCTCCCTCTGTCGGCAGGCTGGAGTGCAGTGGTGCGATCTCAGCTCACTGCAACCTCCGCCACCCAGGTCAAGCAATTCTCCTGGCTCAGCCTCCCAAGTAGCTGGGACTACAGGAGCACACCACCATGCCCGGCTGATTTCTGTATTTTTAGTAGAGATGGGGTTTCACTATGCTGCCCAGGCTGGTCTCAAACTCCTGAGCTCAAGTGCTGGGATTACAGGTGCCCATGACCATGCCCAGCTAATTTTTTTGTATTTTTAGTAGAGACAGAGTTTCACCATGTTGGCCAGGGTGGTCTTAAACTCCTGACCTCAGGTGATCCACCTGCCTCAGCCTCCCAAAGTGCTGGGATTACAGACGTGAGCCCCTGCACCCAGCCTATCTGCTGTTTTTAAATTGTCTTCACCTAAAAATAACTTGTGTCACAGTGGCATATTTTGAGGTATAATATTCTGGTTTCTTACACTTACAAGGGTAGTTCCCAAGTGCATGCCGCCATAAACTGCTTGTGCACAAATCTCCATAGGGCTGGTTTCTAGGGGACTCAAGCTCAGGCAATCAGTCCCAGCAGTGGTCCTAACAAACAGGAGGTTGAGGCTCACTGGAGGCTGAGGTGGGAGAATCACTTGAGCTAAGGAGATTGAGGCTGCAGTGAGCTGTGATGGCGGCACTGCACTGTAGCCTGGACGATGGAGTGAGGTCTTGCCTCAAAATAAAAAAATGCAGATGCTAACACTAATAATCATGGTGGATGCTCTGCTGTGCCACCCATATCTCCCATTAAGGATGAAGGATCTTGTAAGATCTTTCCCCTAGGTCTGGGAGTGCTGCTGTCAAAGAGGCTCCACTGTCAGCACCTGTAGGGGTCAGGGGGGCTGCTTCACTGGGGAGAGTAGTTTCGAAACCACTCCCTGTAGGGGCTGCTGCAGCCTCTACTGAGACCAGATCACCGCTCTCCCTCCTCCCTGAGCTGAGTCCTCTCCCTTTCCTCCTCTTCCTGAAGGTCCTGACCTGGGAACACCCCTAACAAACCTCTTACACGCCAATCTCCACCTCGGTTGGCTTCCAGGGAACCCGATCTGCCACATATCATGTTTCTCACAAGGACTAAACTACATAGAACATAAAGTTCTAAGCTGGGTCTGGTGGTTCACGCCTGTAATCCCAGCACTTTGGGAGGCCGAGCTGGGCGGATCACTTGAGGTCAGGAGTTCAAGACCAGCCTGGCCGACATGGTGAAACCCTGTTTCTACTAGAAATACAAAAATAAACCAGGCATGCCTGTAATCCCAGCTACTCAGGAGGAGAGGCATGAGAATTGCTTGAACCCTATGAGACAGAGCCTGCACCACTACACTCCAGCCTGGGTGACACAGAGAGATTCCATCTCAAAAAAATGAACATAAAGTTTTCATCCCAGAGCCAGACACAGTGCACAACAAGCATTAGTTGTTATCATTATACACTCAAGACATGCCTTCTTTTCTCTCATGGTTATAGATGAAAAAATAAATAAAATTCTTCTCAAGAGGCCAAACGGGGCTGGGTGCGATGACTCACACCTGTAATCCTAGCACTTTGGGAGGCCATGGAAGGATCACTTGTGGTCAGGAGTTCAAGACCAGCCTGGTCAACATGGTGAAACCTCGTTCTACAAAAAATACAGAAATTAGCCACGTGTGGTGGCACATGCCTGTAATCCCAGCTACCTGGGAGGCCAAGGCAGGAGAATTGCTTGAACCTGGGAGGCAGAGGGTGCAGTGAGGGGAGATGGCGCCACTGCACTCCAGCCTGGTGACAGAGCGAGACTCTGTTTCCAAACAAAAACAAAACAAAAGGCCCAAGGGGAGACTGCTATTATGTGCTCATGGTGCCATTCTGACTGGGATCTTTTATCTTCAATGCCATATACATACACACACACACACACACACACACACACACACACACACACACACACAC